ATGTAAAACATTCCTTAAAACATAAAACATTCCTTAAAACTTTAAAGACTAGCTGCCATTGAAAGATCAAATAAATAATTTTCTTTTTAAATGTTAACTTTGATAAAATATTTTCCCCAAGTAGCCTAGGATTCGGCATTCCTGTCGCAAAATAAATTTTATATTGTTGAAGATTCTTTTCCTAAGCTCATGTTGAATTTAATGATTTTGGGGACTAATTTCACAAGGAGACAATTGAAAACAAAATATTTGTCAGATACCTTGGAGTTAAATACTGAAATCTGTTACACAGCTTATCATGTTTATCTAGAATTTCTTAATTTGGTCAGTGTGTTCTTTATTCATTCAATTTTTCAACATTTCTGATAAGAGTATATTCGTTGGGACTGTTCAGGAACCCTAATATTTACAGGTACAGTGCTATTTTATAATTTGGCATTCTAAGTTGTGATTTTTTTCCCCAGCAGAACTGTTTTAATATTAGGAACATTTTAGAAGTATCAAGAATATGGCAAGAAGTTAGAACTGCCTGTATAAGTGACTGCCCATAAATTTCACACTGGTCTTTAATTTTTTTTTCTCAGTTTGATTTGGGAAATTATACAGTGATCTCTGGTTTGTTATTCAAAGAGGTTTTCTAAACTACAAGTTAGGAGATCCAAGAAGCTATAGTTAGCAAATGTTGAGCAAGCCTTACAACTAAATGCAGAAAATAGATACTTAAAAAAAATGACGACAAAGCTATGATAAAGCTAACAGCCATTTCTTAATTTGTCATGAGTATATCCCAAAGCTAAATGGTAAAGGGATTTCACAATTATTTCAAGGAGAGAAAGATTACATTTCTAAATTTAAAACTACACTCAGAAATAAAATATGTTGGATTCAAACACCCCCAATCCTGGAAGATTATACTGGCTAACGATAATAGAAATTGTAATCAAATACATCTGAAGCACTTCATTTTGGGGAAATTGATTTTTTTTTTTTGAGATTATTTAGAATAAAAATGGAAAGCTAGTTTTGTTTGTTTTAAGCTATCTTGAGAATTTAAAAGCCATCACTCTGCTAAACAAATAATTCCCTCAACACTGATCAACTATTACAAAGTCTGCACTACTATTACTGTTAATCTTCTCATCACTCCTTGTCACCCATCCCCTCCCACTTGTGACTGTATGAATGTAACTTTGTCGCTTGTATCCTTACAATTTATAGACTGTTTCCTAGTCTGATTTGATTGCTTATTGTACCCTATGACTATTATTAAGTGTTGTACCTTACGATTCTTGACTCTTGATGAATCTATCTTTTCATTTATGTACACTGAGAGCATTTGCACCAAGACAAATTCCTTGTGTGTCCAACCACACTTGGCTAATAAAGAATTCTATTCTATTCTATTCTAAAAAAAATGGAAATATAAAAGTGATTTCCACATTAATGTTATTTGTTTGTTATTTTGCTTGTATACTATTGCTAAAAATCTCTTAGTAATTTATTAAATTAAAATCTAAAATTAAACCTTAGAAATACTTAAAATAGCAATTGAAACCAAAACCGGACAAGTAAAACTATTAATAAGCTAATCAATACTAAAAAATTTGTGCAGAATAAGTCTTTTAAGAGTGTTTTAAAAAGCCTATAGGGAATGCATTCCAAAAACTCAGTTCAGCAGCAGAGAAGTCCCAATTCTAAATCCCTGCTTTGTAACTTAGACTAGTCTTCTCAGATGATCTCCTTAAAGGTGAAGATTCATCATAAAGAAAGAAGCATGTTTTCTCAAATTGAATGGTGCAAGCTGAAGTTTTTTAAACTTTCAGATGGGTGGACTTCAATTCTAAGAATTCTGACTTGGCAATTCTAGGAATTGAAGTCCACACATCTGAAAGTTTCCAAAACACTGGTCTAATGATCAGCACTAGGTATTGGTCCATACATGAATTGGCAACCAGCTTTAAACACCAGTGATATTTCTCCCCACCCCCCACAAATCAACCTGTCAGGCTTTATACAACTGAGGTTTCCAGAGCAGGCACAAAAGCACTCCCTATAGAATCTCTAATAGTGGTCAACCCTAGAGTTATCATCACATATCTTTTGATGGACATGTTCCTGAAAGAGATTCCTTTGGCCTATCACATGAATTGATAAAACATGTTCTTGGATTGGCTTCAGTTGGAGAGCAACAGTGAGATTTGGGTTCAGAAGCAATCTCAACTACATCTATCCTTATAGAATGGATTTCCATTCAGAATAAGTCCATTTATGATGCCTCTGGAATTAGAATGTTTCATGATAAACAAGTCTGTCTAATGGTTCATATCCATTAGCTAGGAGTGAAGGCTGGATTCACAGATCATAAACAATTATGGCTGGTTTTACTCATGCATTTTAACATCAAGCATTGGTATAATTTTAAGCACAATTTCCAATAAACCAGTGTTTAAGAAGATGTGTCACCATAGCTACACTGAGCTGGGAAAGGCAGTTGAGAGATTTGTTGTGAATAAGGGAACTGAGAACCAAACAAGCAATAGGAAGAAAGATTTAAACAGAAACATTTAACCAAAGTTGGGCAATGCCACAAAGCTACAGCCCATCTAAACCACATCCAAAAGCTACTGTTTCTGCTAGAACAGTGCAACTTGAAAATCTGTTGTGACATTAGTCTGAATGCAGTTCCTAGAGGAGGGAAACCAAAATGTTTCCTTTTTTATTATTGTATGATTTAACAAAATTTCTGAAGAACAGTGTAAACCACTAGTGTTGCAACATCACATTGTCATATGATGTATTGCAACTTTCTCCCCCTTTGCTAAACCAGGCGTGGCCGTGGCCATTGTGTGATGCATCCGATCCATGAGCTGTGAGTTTGACATCCCTGGTGTAAACTATATTTCACTGTAGAAATAATACATGTTATTATCACTTTGGCTTTTACTGAATTTCTGCTTTACTGTATATGTAATTTAAATGCCTGCCATTTGCTTGTCAAAATCTCTTACCACTTTTCAGAGAAAGGATTGTGAATACTTTATAGCTGTTATAATCCCTACTGTCCCTTTTGTCATTTTGGGAGACTCTCAAAATCTGGTTATGTTATCAGACCTGGCGTTCCCAGGGAACTGAAGTTTTGCTTAGATGGCTCCATTATTGAGATGTCCTTTTTTATCCTCTGTTTATGTTGGCCTTTGCATATTTGTTTTTATACTACTTATTTCTTAATGTAAAAAATAGTCACAATAAAAAGTGGTTTTTTAAAAAGCTTAAAATCTACTTTTTTGTGACTACTTTTTATGAACTATTCACAGCAATATTGGGAGCTGGAACTTGGCCTCTCAACCATCTGGATAGCATGGTGATGTGATTAGGAAAGACAGATGTGCGTTTATGAAGGTGGTTTTGGAATTTTATGGCAGTAATGGAAATAGGAAACAAATTATTTATATACCCACTCTTGCTATCCTTTAAAATGGTCCTGAAATTGTGCCATTAACATTTGGAAGTAAAACCTGGCATGGTTTGAATATAAATTTAGGTATGGATATTTAAAACTATTGATATTTGAAACAGTATGAAATAACAAACTACAATAACTAGAGTTTGACGTAGTAATTTGTATTTATCAATTCTGTTAAAATTAATTATCATTTGAGTCTGATTGACAGAACAAACCAAGATGAATCTAAAATGAAAATAAAAGCTGTTCAACTCTTTCATAAAGCCACACTGGTGACAAAGGGAAGAACTCACTGCAGAACTCACTGGACTCCGTTTTCAGAGTTATATAGTTTTATACCAAACCAGCTCCTTCTTTGATACATTTCAAGATGCAGGAATAATTCAAGGATACTATATTGTCCATATCTAATGAAGCAATAATAATTCCTGAGACAAGTTGGTTTGAATTAATTTTGTATTCTGGTTCTTTCTTTTTGTGTATGTTTTAATTCAGTTTTAACACCTGACAACATCCCAGACTAATCTCTGTGGTCTTCTTGTTACTGTTTTTAGAAGTGGTTTGTCATTGCCCACTTCCTTGAGCTAACAGAAAGTAATAGTTACCCAGATTTATGCTTAAGGCAGACTAGAGTTCACAGTTTGCTGGTTTTTAGCTGGGTGCTAGCCCACAACAATAAACTGACTCTCAGTTGTAGGTTAAAGTCGCCCCTTCTATCCATGCCACAACCTTGCACACTCTTCCTGACATGAACTGCACTTCTTATCCAAATACCTTATCTGGCTCATTTCACAGCCTCACACACCTGATCTATGCCGTACTTCTCATGTACCATTTCACACCTTTATGTACCCACCCTGCACTACAACCTTGTTCATTCTCCCTCACCTGTGCTGCATCTCTCATGCCCACCCTCACACCCTCCCTGATTCACACAATGCATCTTGCACATTCTCATGTACCCTCCCTAACCTGAATGATATCTTCCAGACCCTCCATGAACTGTACTGCACCCTTTTCATTCATCCTGACCTTTAACAATGGCAACTAGGACTTCAGGGACCACATCTCTTAGTCATGGAAATTCTGATCCCACTGCCTAAAGTTGAAGTTGTTATTGGTTGTTTGGGAGAATGTCTTCTAAGTATTGGCACTTTACAGTTGCAGAATATTTTTACCAGGGATATTAACCTACTACTTTTGTCACGGTCATTTTGACATTAATAATAATTCTAATTTATTAAACTTGTATGCAGCCCAACTTCCAGTGATCTGGGTGGCTCACAACAAATGAAGACATTATAATAAAATAAGTAAACGATGGCAAGTGGGTATACCTTTTCATAGGCATTTGAAAATTATAAAGTTTTACTGTTGCATTATTTGAAAAACTGTATGATGTTTGTTTGCTTAATATTTTAATACATTTAAAATCAAGGGTTTTGGTGTGTATTTATATGTCTTATATAAACAAATGAAAACAATATTTAAAATAGGAAACATGAGAAGTAAACATACTTTTTTCTATATTATTCAGGGGAAGAAAGTAATGGACCTTTGTTTGAAAGTACATCAAATACAGATTCAGAATTTCCTG